GTACACATATGATTTAGGAAATCTTTCATTTTCTTGCCAACTAAGCATATATTTAGGCTAGATCATCGCGACTGAGTTTGTAATGATTTGCCATTGTTAATGCTTCCTTTTGATATCAGAAGATATTGTATTAGATAGATTTATTGTATAAACAATCTACACCAATTAATGCCCTGATTTGAAAACATAAGGACGTGATATTTACTTAATTATTTATTATAATTAATAATGCATTCATTTTACACCATCAAACTATGAGTACAAAAGGTATCATGATATATTTTCATAGCTAATGCATCCCTGGTAGTATTGATTCCCCCAGCTTTATTTTTAACAAATTTGACTCCCCAAATATTGATTGATTTGATAACTAAAATATTGATATAGAAGATATTATTAATTATCATTAAACAATTGACATAAATAGGCCGCACTATCTCTTCTCTACTACTATTAAACAAGAAAACATATTCATCGTTAAGTGCACACAGCCTATTGTACACATAACAACACAGATCAATTCCAACCTCACGATCAGGACACTTAATTTAATCTAACCGTTAAGATTATGCTAATCCTCAGCCGAGACTGCATTTAGCAATTTGCTCCGGCGGACGAAAACTCTGCCGAACCAAACTTCCGCGCTCCCCGCATCCACCCAATACATCTCTTCCCCAATCCAAGGAATGTTTTGCCGCCGCTCCGTGCGCTTCGGCCCTGATTCAGCGCCGCCTCGCCGTCCGTGCGCCCACTGCGCGGTTGCCGCTTGCCACGCCTCACCCGTCGGGGTCGAGGGTTCGCCTGCAAGCATGATCGGCGGCACCAGCCGCCACGTCGACCTCTTGCGGCGCTCCTCCAACCCCGACCTCCAGCGGTGCTCCTCTGGTACTCCACACCCTGACGCACCACCCACTTCTCCGTCCCCATGCCCCGATCCCCTTCGTCCTCCTCTTCCCAAGCCGCTGGCGTCCACCACATATCCTCTCCCCTTCTCTACAGCCCAGCCCATCCCCACACGGCGAGCCCCTACAGATCGAGGCGTCCATTGCGCTCCCTTGCGATGGTCGCCCGGCGGTAACCCATAACCCAGCTCCTCCCTTCCTCCTCTTCTCCATCGCAGGGGGATGTCACATCCTTCCACCGCAAGGACGTCGTCGACGGAACGGCCCGGATGCTGATTCCGTTGCTGCCTGCGCCTGAAACCACGCGGACACCACTTCCTCGATGTGACCGGCGCCACACTCCACGCGAACGCCATATCTGGTAATCTGGTTATGCGTGTAGGTTTAACTGAAGTTCAGATGTCATTTTATTACTAAAAGGAGGCAGAAGGTAGTGAGAGCGAGGATGATGGGGATGAAGCGGAAGCGGAGGACGTGACTCCCAAGTTGTGCTTTACTAGCCACACAAACTTCAGCTCTCGCAGTTTGTCTCGGAGTTCCGTCGGACAAAATTCTCAGGGAAGCTCAGGACGGTTGCTTGGGCTCCAGGAAGAACTTCTGTATTAACATGGGTGAGTGGATTGTGAGGTTAAATTTCTTCTTCTGATTTGGGGGCTGGGATTGGGTTTAATTGATTTGCGGTGCGTTTGCTTGCAGATGTCCAGAAGCTTGGGAGTGCAAACCGGATCAACTGGAGGTCCTTGGGATTGAAAATAACAAGAGAAACACAAAATTAAGGCATGTGCCGATTACGTCGAATTTGATATGCAATGCTCAGATGTTGTGTTACATGTTAATACAAATATAGCTGCTTCTTGCATGTTTAGGGCTTGCCATTCTCATGTGACTGATAGTGTGATAACTACTGTATCAGGACCATAATTAATATCTTCAGAGGATTTTGAACTGAACTTTGGTTTTGTCCGTTTTAGGTGTTATAGTAATTGTGTCTGTTTTTATTTCCTCACATATTCTGATTGCACAATAATTGTTTGGATATCATATTTGCATACGCTGGCTTGTTAAATACCATCAGTCTGGTGCCAATTTATGACTTCTGAATCTGGAATGTTCACAAGTATATTTCCGTCTCTTTACCAAAAACAAATGTGCAGAATTAGCATGTCCAATAATTGTTATCTTTATCTTTGTTGAATATGTTTTCATGACTTTTAGCTATAAACCATTCCGATGAGGAGTTTGTGAACTGCTTTAGTCGATGATTAATTCATGAAATTTCAGAGTTGCCTGGGGATGACGGTCCGGCCACATCCGTAGCAGGACGTGGCAGCGCTACCACTGCGAATACTTTGACAATAATAGCCTGATGTAAGCTTTTAAAAAAGCTAAATGCAATTTCTCCTTTCTAAAATAATGATTTTTTGATGCAATTTCTCCTTTCTATGAAATTTGGATGCAGTTTAAGCTAAAATAATGATTTTTTTGATAAGTTAGAATATGTAATTTAGTTCACGATTTTTTCCTTATTAGTGGAGATTTATTGTACAGGATCTTTAAAATAGAAGTGTTATTACTTGTAGTGTGCTTTTGTTGAATTTATATATGTAACTTTGAGACGGGCATTGCACGCGCAAGATTACTAGAGTTTTTCTTATTGTGCATCAGGTTAGCGATGTGTAGAAACATCAAACTCCATGCAGTCCAAGTAAATTCTATGTATTTTATTATATTAAGTTTGGATAAAGCAACCTAAGTAGAATAAAGAAAAGTAACTAGAGTTTGATAACCAGCAACCTAAGTAGAGTGGATAAAGCAAAATAACTAGAGTTTGATAACCAGCAACCTAACTAGAGTTTGGATAAAGCAACCTCACTTGTGCGCGAACAAGCTAGGTGTCTGAATTTTTTATGGTTATATGTCAAAATGAGATGCTTAGAGAATTGGCAATCAATGTAAGGCAACGGCAGCACGCAGATCGCCAAATGTTTGTCATTTCTTAGTCAGCAATCCAAATACTAATGGTAAACTGTTCAAACTACTATTCACATATGGTATTGAAAATTTAAGAAGAATCTGAAAAAAGTTGGAGTTTCCAGCCTAATCCTGGCTGAGTTTTTGTTTGGTTTCTATTCGTTATTTTTGTGGTACTATATTTTATACAAAATGACAAGGATAGGCCAAAAATCAAGAATGTGTTATATAGCCCCTGTCATAATCGGAATTACATAGCAGATCTTAAAATTGAGAGGCAACCCTGAAGCCCTACATGGGGTTTAGTGATGTCCGTGATTACTAGCATATTTTCCTACATTGTTTCTGTTGTATCCATTACCTTTATTATTTTTAATTGTGACATTTTGGTGAATGTTACGGTGGTGGCAGAGATCTCATAGCATGTGTGGAGTACCACCCATAGTGAATCATCAATAATTCCCACAGTGAATCATCAATAATACTGGTATGTTCTCTGCTCATATCTGTATTTTGTTTTTTACATGATAGATTGATTTAACTACATTTTACTATGTTATGCCTCAAGTGTACAGAGCTCATTCAGTTTAGGTACATACAGATATTTTAAAACGTGTATTTATATACCTTCCCTTTTCTTTTCATTACCTTCCTTGTTGCTTGTTTTCTATTTTGTGGAACCGTGGAGCTATAGTTGATGGCCACACAATGCAATTAAGGTGCCTTTTACTGCAAACTCAATGCAACATTTTATTATTCCCAAAGAAGATGATGTGGTGATGAGAAAACGTAGCATATAGCTCATTATTTTTTACTTTCCGTCTCACCATTTTTGGAAACATTGTTTTCTGTTAGCAATATATTTTGGCAATGTTATTTTGTATATTGGTTTCTTTCACTCATGTTATCACCAAGATTTGTTGCTCCTGTTATGTCTGAGAATTTTGTTGACCTCGGCAGTGCTGCCCTTTGTATCTGGTTTGAGGCCTGGTTGAATGCATTGTTCGGGCAATTCTCTTCTAAATGAAAAGGCACAGCTCCTGAGGATGAAGGCAGGCTATGGATTCCACGGGCTTGATATGCACTTATAGCTTTGACCACACGCCGGTGGCTAGGTTGTCTGATAGGGAGTATTGTAGTTCCTGGTAATATATTAGGCCGATATGCTGTCAGGTGGGTCGGCGTGCCTGCCAGTCTTGGCAAAGTAGAATCACCTGGTCATACTCCTATATATATATTCTGAAGCATCTCCAACACTTGTCCTGGAAAAAATGCCTAAGAATTTTTGGCAATTGTAATACGCTCTTTCTGTTCATCAATATGGGTTGTGGGCTTCTAACTTTCAGGCATATTTGAGATCTGTATTTTGGACTCTTTCATATCTGCCGCATCATTCGGTCTTATAACTTTCAAGAACATGACATGATGTTTTCTTTTTCTTTTTTGCATTGTCCATTACTAACTTGTGTTCCAAAAAACACAAACAAGCGGTTACTTCTGAAAATCACTACAAGCATCTCTCAATGCTCAAGATACTGTAATACATTGGTCTATGCAGCTTTTAGGAACTTGTCTTGTCTTGTTAATTTCTTTTTTAGTTTTATGCATTGATGGAATAATAGAAAAGACCCTGTTATTCAGCTTGGAGGGTGAGTATTCACGGTTGCACATGTTTGCATTATACTGCTGAAAACTCTTCACACAATAACTCATAATCTTCAGAGGATGATTGTGAGCTAAGGAATCGACTTTCACCTTCTCAACTATATCGAGAATGCAGCTACAAACAACATCATGATGTCGTACAAGTGTTGCTTAACCGTGTAAGGATCATCCCCTAAAAAAAACCTGTCTAAGGATCAAGCAATATTAAGATAATTGGTTGTTCTTTTCTCTATGCATGAGCCTAAATTATAGTCGTAATATTATGTCGTGCTATCATAATATCTTCTTTATGCATTCCCATATATGGTTCTGGTTGTAATATTAATCAAAATGTGCGTTGCACGTGCACGCTTACTAGTGTATCTATATAACAGTAGAAGAGGTGAACACTACCACAAGCAAAAAGTATACCCAAAGAGCACTGATCATTGAAAAGGTAAGAAAGTACTAGTGCCTCTCGAAATGGCTATCTTCAAAAAGAAAGCAGGCACCCTGTTTTTGGCAACTCTCATGGTCATCGCTACTCTTCGACTAGCCACAACGGTGAGTAACATACACTAGTAAATACACGTATCCCTAGACTATGTTACTACCTTCATAGTGGGTAGTAACATAAGTGTGGTAACATGCAAAGCTTCATTTATTAGGTTATAGACTCATATTGCATTGAGACATGTGATGTTATAGTAACTAGCTAAGTTACTATAACTACCTCTTTCCTCATTAACTCATTGCCACATAAGCAAATTTGCTGAGTTGGACTCGATGTTACTGCTGAAGTTACTCCCACTGTGGCTAGTCTTCTCCCCTCATGCGACGCAAACAACGAGGTGATGTTATTTTACATGTCTTCTTTATTCTCCTTGATCATTTGGTTAACGTGCATATTGAAATGTTGAGATCCCATTAAAACTAGTGTATATTTAGCAATGCCAAAATATAAGGTGGCAAGCTATGTTGCACATAAGTGGCCTAACAAAATGTGTTGATCTGGTGCAGATACAAACAGATGCTCTCCCCCTACCTGCGAAGTGCTATGAGTTGGACTTACCTAACTACACGTTGGAATCATGCAACAAATTTTGCCATGGAGGAAAGTGCACTTCCTACGATGGCTGTTGCTGCCCCATTGCCTAAGACACCACAAAAATGTTAAAAACAAATGGCTCGCATAATAAAAGAAATTCCTACATGCATAATACATATATGTATGTGCTAGCTCTGGCACTTTCTAATCCTATATCTAGCCTACTCCCTCTGTCCTGAATTACTTGTCGCAAAAATAAATAATATTAAATATATCTAAAACTCAAATACGTCTACATACATCCATTTCCATGACAAGTAATTTTGGACGGAGGAGTACGATTCAAGCAAGCATGTTCTTTCTTCGGTATTGCGATTGATATGGATGGAGCTACTCTAAAACCCCTGGTTCCTAACTCAGGTGACTTGCCAGATCCTATCCTGCCGAAAAAAAACCGAACCTTATCTGTTTCTCTTTTCCTCCCACATGTGAGTGACTCAATTTGGTAAACTCAGGGAGCAGCGGGCGCCGCTGACTCCTGCCCACCTTCTTTCCCGCCGGCGCCAGGTAACCGCACGCGCCGCCAGTCAACAGATCCTCCACGCGTGCCGACCCCAAACCCTCGTCGGCTACCGCGCACATCCCCAAATCCCCGATGCCGGCCGGTGCCCAACGCCTCCTTGGTTGCTGCTACAGCTGTGGACCCCGTTGACCCGTCGCACTGCTTGGGCCTCCTGACACCATCCCGGGATGTCGTTGTTGCCATGGACCACCATCATGCCATCTGGGCCTCACAGAACCATTTGTATAAGGGTGCCCGTAATGGGGAGTATCATAGGTAGTGTCATGCATGCCAGCTAGACAATTTTAATGATGTGACATAGAATTAAATGAAGAAAGAGAGAGTTGAGTATCATACCATATCATATTAAATGATACCATATCATAAAGAGAGAGTTGAGTACCATGATACCATATCGTATTAAATGATGTGCTACTACTACAGAAATTGCATTTCCTATGGTTTGGTAATAACAATAAGTACACTTTACTCTTACAGAAATTCTTTGTTTACTAGTAGAATGCCCATGCGTTGCCACGGGCATTTTAAAAATCTCACTGGTTCATCATGATCATGTTCTACTGGAAAAAAAAATCTGATATTTATGGATATACGATATTCCTCATTGCAATTAATGTCACTAAATTTCTCGATCCATCAAACCATGGGTAAGTGCAGAAGTAAATGAACCTGAGTTCAATGTCCATGTGTTGCCACAAGCTAACAAATGTCTAGAAAGAGAAATGTTGTGTGGTGGGGTTATTGACTATGCACATGGGATGATACTTCACATCCGTCATGTTGTAGACAAATGCGTGACAATTTGCTTCCTTCCTCCCACTGTCCTCCAATCTATGTGTTTTCTCCCCCTACCTTGTCCTCCAATCTATGTGTTTTCTCCCCCTATCTTGCACAACTATACTCAGAATCTTGTTCAACTCCAAACAATCTTTTCAATTTCGCCATCTCGTAGATTAAAGATGGTTCACACGTGTCAATTATGTCAATATTGTGACACTGGCAAAATCCACGCACTAAACATGTGATGATGACCGGGTTTGGTTAGCGGTTGAAAGATGCCTACGATAAAATGTTTACTCGAAACAGATATTTTCGGGGATAATTTATTTGAAGGAAAATGAGATATTTGGGTTCATCCCAAATTACCGCATATACATTAGGGAACAAATTTCATTAACTCAACATCTAAAATAAAAGGACGTCTTATTAGGGTACATAGACTTGCAGAATAATAGAGAAACGAGGTTATATATACTCCATGATGGACTTTCTTATTATGGCTACATTGGTTCTGTGAAGCAAATAGTGAAGGCTACGTAGATTGAAGTTATTCCTTTTAAAATACAGGAAATTCTTGGAAATGTGAGGAAACCTTTGGTTTGATTTGGTGCCACAGTCACGTCACCGGAATTGATGCAGGTACTTGGAGAACAACGGGTGCGTTGGGATTTGCGTCAACATGTGCAAGATCCCCATGCAGAGCTTCTTCACCGACGAGTTCGGCCTTCCCCTCACCATGAATCCAAGTAAGCTCACTTGATGCCTTTTCCAACTGAAATTCAGTTAGCCCTGGCTGATGATTACCTTGCTCGCTGACCCAACAACGTCTCAGACTTTCAAGACATGAGCTGCGAAATGATATATGGTCAGGCGCCCCCACCATTGGAAGAAGATCCAGTGTCAAAACAACCCTGCTATCCCAGCCTCTGTGAGTGCGCTCAAATTTGGCAACACTTTTCAAGTACTGAACCAATGTAGCACTGAACTTGCACTAACATGCATCATCTGTCACAAATTTGTTGCGCTGCTACAATTTTTCAGGCTCCATATCGACGCCCTCCGCTGCAATATGTCCCAAAATTCAGAACTAGGGAAAGCAACGAAAACATTCCGGAGTTCAGATCTTGGTCGCTTTCAGTTTCTTCTGCAAGCGCTCACAAGGGTTTTGATACATAAATAATTGTGCATGGTATCCGATAGGCCAGAATTTCAACAGGGACAATAGATAGTGAATCGGTAAATTTTATACATACACTCAATGTATATAATGTAGCCCATATCTTACAGGAAATGCAAAGATACATGATCCGAACTACTAATTTTATAATTGTTGCACCTTTTCGCTGCATGACTAGAGTTTTCGGCTGTCATCATTTTGTAAAGAGTAAATATGTGTACTGTATGTTGTGACTTGTGAGGGGAGCATGAAGCAATTGCCTATGTTCACATTCAGAACATGGAAATAGAGGATGTTGGGGAGGGTCCCCTGCCTCCGCCCCTATTTGGTTCGTTTATTCACTGGACGTCAATACCCGCCCTGTCAGAAAAACCCTCCTCCGTGCCTCTCTTATCAACATTCTTGCCAACCATGTCTCCAACTAACCTAGCATGAGCCGCTTCTCGACCTGACACCTTACCATGAGAAGCTCGGAAAATTCTGGATGATTTTGCCACTATATTACAAACCCCAATTCGATGTGGTATCAAGAAGGGCGAAAACAAACATAGAAATGTCATGGGTTGTCAAATTTTTTAGCTAGGATGAACAGTGTGCATGAGTGTTTTTAGCAGAATTTGTGATACAAACAAAAAGGGTAGATAGAATGTCAAACAGCCTCAACTATTCCTGCCATGCAGGCTATGTTAAAAAATGTCAACTGGGTTCATTAAAATTGCCATTAGTATTGGACATCTCCTACGCTGACCCGCGAATTTGCTCTGGCATCCGTCCGCAGACAGGGGGACCAGTCCGAAGTCACCGATGCGGGAGCCGGCCATCCAATGCTGCCGCAAACATTTCAATCACTGTTTGAACTAGCCGGACGAAATTCATGCAAACACCACGGATTTCATATAAATCGCGAAATTCATTACATTTTGATATAAATCGGACGAAATTTATTACATTTTGGTATAAACCGGACCAAACCCTACTGTAAACCTAATCTAAATGATCGCCGGTGCCCGTTCCCCATGTCCGGCCATGAGCCCCGAGAACTGAAGCTTCGGCTATTGCCTTCGGCTTCTCCATTTCCGCCTCCGTGCTATCCAGCTCCGCCTCCAGAGCCAGCCCACTAAGCTTGGCTTCAATAGAAGGGGAACAACGGTGACCTTCTTGGGACCCGAGCGGCGGCGACCTACCATGTACTACTCTTCCTTGTTGGCGGCGGCGCCCGCGGATGTACCGACTTCGTGGTCCTGGCGGTGGGGCGCGGTCGGGGCGGAGCTGACGATGTCCTCCTCGTTGTCGCTCTTACCCATGCCTCATCCGCCGCCTCGTCGAACTCCCTGTAGGCGGCTGCCAATTCCGCTTGAAGAAGGCGGTACCGCCAGCGGCCGAGGTGGATGTCGCTGGTGGTGTGGTAGGAGTCAGCTGCCGCTGCTCCTCTCTCTCCGGCCGATTGCTGCTGCTAATTTGTTGTACGCAGATCAACAAGTCTCCCGATTGCCGCAGCTACCCCGATCCACTTGCTTCCGGCCGCATTGGGTCGCCTTGATCCGCTCGATCTGCTTGGTGCTTGAACTGCTCGTATGTGACGTCACCCGTTTGTCTTCTTCTTGTTCTTCTTCTTCTTCAATCGTCAAGATATCTCTTATCCAATCCATATTTTGAGTCAGTTTGTCTCTATTCCGACTTTGGTTCACTATAGCCACCTTCTTCATGTTCTCCGATATATATCTTCATGGCATGATCTCTCATTGTCTGTTCTTTCCTCGCTCCAGTTCATTACAGCTTCATGCCTTTCCGGATGTTACGTGGGCTAGTGATCCCTCGGATCGCCATTCACTTTCTGCTTAATGTGTTTTTCTTGGTGGTTCTCTCATTGCCTAGAAGGCAAAGAAACAAATTGTTGTTTCCCATGAGTCCAGAGGCTAAGTTGTGAGCTATGACTCTTTTGACAGCAGTGGTGATTTGGTTACGGTGGTTAATTCAGGATTTGGTGTTTCTGTCACTACACCTTCTCTGCTATTGTCTGATAGTACATGTGCTATTAGCATTACGCGCGACCCTATGATCTCTGAAGCATGAGCTCACCAAGCATATTGGTATTGACGCTTTTTATGTATGTGCTAGTGTGCGGGGTCAGGTTATTGCTCTTTAGTATGTGCCTTCCAAGTTACAGTTGACTGATTTCTTTATGAAGGCCCACACTAGAGTGCGCCATGACTTCTATCTCTCTAAACTCAGTGTTAGTAATCCACCATGAGTTATAGTCATGTAGCCTTTTGTATTTGCCCCATTGTATAAGGGATTTTTTGCATATTTCCTACAGAGAAAACCATAGTATTCTTCAGGGTTTTCAGGGCGGTGGGGTGGAATGACAGGAAGCCCGTTGTGCTCATGTGCATCGGTCCCGCCAAGTAGTGGCGGAGCTACACCATAATTCCTAGGGGGAGGAACACAAAATAGGAGCGTTTGAGGGGGCAAAATACTATTTTTTCTTTCAGTTAGGCCTCTACCTAATATTTTCTTCAAAGAATTGTTCAAAGTTGGGGGGAAGCTCTGCCACTGCCACCAAGTATGCA